GCGAGTCCCCTCGTTTGTGTATGACTCCCATGTAATTTGGAACCTACTGCTGCTTTTGTTGCTATTTGTTGATCTCCAGCTATGGGTTCCATGCAGTGGCAGGACTGTCAGGTCTCTGTCCTTATTCACTATGGGGCTGCACGCTCGTGTTGGCACAGCACAAGGGACAGGAGTGAGCAGCTGGTGTGGACAACATCAGCCCAAGTCAGCATGCTGCTGAAGGCTCGCATTGTCATTGCTCAGGTGTGGATTTTTTCACATTAGTACCTAAAAGCAGTAAATGGGTGAACTGGGTATTAATGCAATACTTTTTAAGCAAGCTGACTTCCATGCATGTGTTTCAAGTAATAGTTTATATGTGCTCGCATTAAAAACTGTATTCAATTTGTCTTACATAACAAATTGTGGGTGTTGTTACGCTGACATTTGGACCTAACCCTTTGGTGTTGTAGGTTTCTTGGGCATTTGTATGCAGCAGAAGCTCTCATCTCTCTAGACAGAATATCTGATGCCATCACTCACTTGAACCCCGAGAACGTCACTGATGTTTCCCTCGGGATCTCTTCAAATGAGCAGGATCAAGGTTAATTAATCCACTCTTCATTAGAACTGGTTATGCTTTCAGCTGCCTTCATGCTATAAATTTCTATGTACAAATATAGTTATTTATAAGATATCTTGTTTTAAGACTGTAGTTTTTGGGGAGGCTTTTTGTTTGTGTTTTTGTTGTGGTGGCGGTTTTGTTTTCCTGGCTTTAGTTCCTACTTTGTGTTTGGTTTGTCTTTTACATGGTTGCCATTCCTTTGAAGTGGTGAATTCTGTAACATAAATAGAACTATATATGAGAGCTGCTTTTGTTAAGGGTACAGTTATGGTTAAGTTTGGGCTTCATACCTTTCAGCTTTTTTAGTCTCTAAACCAGCTTTGGAGTACCAGTGAAGTCTATTTAGTGCATTTAGTAAGAGATAGGAGTGGGAGGAACTTAGTAGTTAATCTGTACCTTCATCTTGCATTGCTTCCAGTTGGGAGTGTGTATTCTGTAACAGAAAAATACTTCAGAGCCCATCTGTAAGTCTACAGCAGCTCTGATTTCAGTGATATACCTGCAGTTTAAACTTCACTGTCTGCAAACCTAAAAGGAAAACATTAAAGACAGGAAGTCTTAAGTGGCATAAACTCTTGAGCAAACTGATACGTTTTCCCTCTTTAATGTCAGATCATAAAGAAAGAAGTATACTTTTATCTTTAAACCTTATTACAAAAATTGTACAAAAAGCTCATGGATCATGATGGGTTTTGTGGGTTTTTTTCTTCGTAGGGTCTGACAAAGGAGAGAATGAGGCAATGGAATCTTGTAAGTACCAAAGTACCAGCCACCATATTCAGAAGAGTACAGGAACTTACCAATTGGCCAATTTGGAATAAAAGTGTAAGAAAAAAAATAAATTTTTTTTAATTCTAGCTGGCAAGCAGACCCCGCAGTGTTATCCTAGTTCAGTCACATCTGCACGAACAATGATGTTGTTTAACCTTGGAAGTGCTTACTGCTTGAGGAGTGAATATGACAAAGCTCGAAAGTGTCTTCATCAGGTATGAAAAACAAATCTCAAGACAGCTTTAGGGACAAATGTACTTTCTTCCAAGTGCCATTTAGATCACAGCAAATCCTGGTGATTTCATAGCCCAGGTCTATCTGTGGACTTTGCTGAGATGGCAGCTCTCTTCTGTCTTTATGAACCAATCAATATTAGTAACATAAAATAAGGGAATTTCAAATTTCTTACTTGTTTAAATAGTTCTATACCACTATGGGAAGCATTTTTTTTTCTAGATCATATCTAAACAGTGGAATATGACTAGGAAGCCTTTTCACTTTTTCTAAGGTTTGGGTTTTTTTAATGGTCCAGTAGTAATTGTATTTCAGAGGATAAAGTTCTTGAGGGCCTTGAGTGTACTTCTCTCTAATCAGTTATAACTCACCATCTAAGCGATTAATTTAAGGGCTGTGAGAACAAACTGCAATTCTGCTGGAGGTATGTCTCTTGCCTGCCTCTTGTCCCAAGAATTCTCAAGTACTGCTTTTGAAACTGCATCTTCACTTAGCTTGTGTGATTTGATCTTTCTTATGGCTGGGACCCATCTTTCAATGACGATGTTGATCTCTCTTTGCAGCCATTCCTGTCCCTCAGGAGACTACTCAAATGCATTGTTGAGCTGCAAACTGAAACAGCAGTCTTCCAAATTGCTTTGTAGTAGTTGTGTAGGTGAACAGGTTCAAATTTTGTGAAGTTCTCAACCGCTTAATGCAGTTGTCTTGCTCTTTTTCCTCACAAGGCTTCTTCAGACTGGGCAGGTGTCTATGCCTGGGCTGTGTAGCACATGTGTAAAGCCCAGAGGAGTGTAAGGCCGTCAGTGGAAGTAAAGTATAGTAGGTCTCTGCATCTACAATAAGTTCATTGACTTCATAGCCAAAAAATATTTGTATATGGAAAGCTAATGACTGATCCTTGTTAACATTGTATTCTGAACTTTGGAGCAGTGGAGGTTACCTTCTTCACCTGTCATCTCACCAGGAAACCACAGTAGCTTGGCCCAAGAATTACAGACTTATATTAACACAAGCATACTGTAGATGGTGCTGCTAATTAGTGTGAAACAGTCTTGCAAGGCAGTTAATCGTTCAGTCTCTCCTTGCATACATAAACCTGATGGGAGCATATTAGTTTGAAAAAAAAATCTTACCTTTTAGTTTATGAATTATTTGTTTTTGTTAGCTAAGATAATGGTAACAGTCTTGCAAGACAGTTAATCGTTCAGTCTCTCCTTGCATACATAAACCTGATGGGAGCATATTAGTTTGAAAAAAAAATCTTACCTTTTAGTTTATGAATTATTTGTTTTTGTTAGCTAAGATAATGGTAACAGCCTTGTCAAGGGGCACTTTCTTTGAGCTGGATGTTTCTCTTAAGCACTTTTTCTCCCCACCCACTTCTTCTTTTTCAATAAGGCTGCTTCACTGATCCACCCCAAAGAGATCCCTCCAGAGGCTATTCTGCTGGCTGTATATCTTGAATTACAGAATGGTAAGGAAATTAATTTCTTCCCAACATTAAAGACCCTAATTTAACATATAAGCTGCAATGTTGAATGTAACTGGATATTTTAACATTTTAGATTTTTTCCTTGAAGTTTACAGCTAACTCTCATAGGCAAAATGTTAGAGCAAATTCTTAAGTTTTGAAATGTTCTGTCAACCTAAATTTGGGATATAAGGGGAGGAGGGTGGTAGTCATCATTCCTCATCTTTATAGAGTTGTGCCAGTATTTTGAATTACACCCTTTAGGCCCTGTCTCCATTTTACATGTATCTGCACCTTCATTTCCATTGTTTATTGCCATCCTGTTCTAACACACTCCAGACTTCCTAAACATTCATCTTCTGAGTTGAAATCTTCTCTACTTTGTGCAGAAATCAGCGGTCTTGGATAGGCTCAGTAAAGCCTTGGTGAGGTTTATAGTATAAAGAGGGCTTGAAAGGCTTTTCATTAAAAGAACACTGCAATCCATGTTGCCCAGAGAAGCCATGTCAAGGTCTGTGCAAGCAAGTACTGTAACAAAGCACGTCATATTGATAACTCTTCCAAAATCCTTCCTTTTGAAGGTTCACTGTGTTTGCATGGAAAAAACTCCCTACATAATGGGAAACTGTAAAGATTGCACTTGAATGCTGCCGTGTGAGCAGACTGGTACAGCTGCACCATTGAAGCTGTCATGGTTGTGGACCTGTGCCCCTGGGGGCTTCATATCTCAGTGCTGTGAAATCTTCAGTGTACTTGTTCCCCTTCAGTTCTCTTGCATTGCAGGCACACAAATGACTTGAGCATTTGTATTAAGCATTTGTATGCTTTTCTTAGAAACATCTTTATAAGTTGGAATTTTGGAAATCTTTATTTCTGCATCAAAATACAACAGAGCAGAAGAAAGTAGAAACTGGGATTTAAGTCTCTCACCCCCTTCTAAGTATATAACCAAAAGGAGCTAAAAACATTTTTTGTTCTGTAAATGGCAACAGAAAGGTGCATCTCTTCTGAAGCCTAAAATGTGCATGAAAGAAAAGTATTTTTCTCCTACAATTTTATAGGTTTAATTTTTAGCAAAGAATAATTTTCTGATTTATATTGGTATTTATTTGATGGGCCATGCATATAGTTGAAACTCAGTTTTCTTTTTTTAATAATGCTTTATATACACCCTTGCTATTTGCATTACTGTCTGTAATGTCACATTGTGAGAGCATTTTGTATGAGACCTGGAGTCTCACTGTGCAGACGGGACAGAGAAGAGGTGCCCTTCTGGAATTCTGAAGGTGCTCTGGCATCTTCCAGCTCTGAGACAGAAGAAGCTCAATGTCTCCATACAGGTAGAATGGAGCAGTGCAGTTGCTTCACATTGACTTTTCATGCCCATGTCAGTATTTCACTGAAGCGGAAGACTGCTGACTTGTGTGTGGCCTGGGCCCAGGGCTGGCTTGTCAGCTGTCCTGAGAACAGTGACTCCCAAGTCATACAAAGCTACTTTTTTCCCCCTATTATTTTAATCAAAAGTTGTCTTGTAGGTAACACACAGCTGGCACTGCAGATCATCAAGAGGAACCAGCTTCTCCCTTCTGTGAAAACACTCTCTGACATGCGGAAGAAGCCTATTTTTCAGCCAGTCCACTCAATCCAGCCCATTCAGATGCCAGCTTTCACCACTGTTCAAAGGAAGTGAGGTCGTGCTTCAACCTGCTGCTACCCTGCCCAGGAGGGCTTGGGATTTTGTATATTTTTTTTTAACCTAGGATACCTGCATACCCCAATTGCTGGAGTGTGTTCATTTATGTAAATTTTTAATAAAATATGTAAACACAAAGGCATGCCTTAGAGGTGTTTGTAGAGGTTATTCATAAAGGAAGAGAGGTCGGTTATCTGTTTACAAAGGAGTAGTAGTTTACTTACCAAAAAAGAAGGGGTTAACCACGTGTGTAATTCAGCTCTTTTTAAAGCAAATAGGAGGGAGGGAAGCAACTAGAAGGAGAATACTATTCTATGTATATGTTCTATACTAGAAGGCAGGCAGATGTGCGTGCATGCATGCCCCCATGCCTGCCTCCTGTTTCCTGTAGTTACCTTATTATTTTAAGCATAAAGAGCACAGCTCCAGTGTTACCAGGGCAAGCCCTAGCGCCAAGGGTTAGGAGTGTCTTTCAAACCTCTCTAAAAAGCTCTTTAAAACTAGCAGCTATCCTGCTGCTCTACAAGTGTTACGCTACAGTGGGGGGGGTGTGTGATGCAGGTGGTTGGTAAGTAAGGGGCCTGTTCTGCTCCATGCAGGCTGCAGTGCTTCCCTGCTGTAAAGGGGGTGGGGTGGGGGGGGCTGTTCCTGAATCTCCTGCCTCAGGGGCTCAAGGGGTGGCAAGAGCCAAAAGTTTACCAACACAGGAAAGGTGCAAGAGCTGACACAGCTGCTAAACCTTTGTCACTGAGGAAGGGGCAGGGGTATATAGGGCAATGGTTGTAGCAGGCAGTGGGTCCTCTGAAGGGACTAGTGCTGGGGAACATTTGCCTTAGCTGGATGGAGGTTGTGTTGGGGGTTTTAGTTTTTTGGTTTTTTTTTTTCCGTTCCTGGTCTTCCTTTGTCCTAAACAAAGGTGTAATAGTGCAGGTAGAGTGGAAGAGTGCCTTGCTGTAAGAAAAAGGATTTTTTTTTGTGGTTTTTTTTTTTTAAACAGTTTCTGCTTCAGCAGAATACTGCTTTCTTTCAACTTTTGTTCAAACCAAGAGCTGTAAGATAGCAGCATAAGCAAATGACCCTCCTCTTAGTGTGAACATTAAAGTCTGCCTTAGGCTTTAATCCAGGCATAAGCTAATCAGAGCCCAGCATGCAACATCACCACCCCTCCTCACCTCCCCTTGCTGTTTTATGTCATTTCAGCTATTCTGAGACTTTGCTCGCTAACACCTTATCTATCTCCCTGTGCTGCTGGCATTCTACTTTGCCTCCAGGCACCACCAAGGTCGCATTTTCAAGCACCCACCTGAAGTGCAGGCCCTGCAAGTTCTGCTGCTCTCAGTAACTTGAGCATTAGGTAGTACAGATATCCTGGGTTCACCCCCAAGATCTTCAACAAACCACAACAGACAGAAGACTAGTAAATTTATTAACGTGCAAATTGTGTGTGTGCCCTCAGCAGGCACCTAGTGAGCATGAAGCAGTCCAGCAGAAACTTTAAGAACTGTTGGTGCCCCTCTTTGGCTAGCTCACTGGCGTCAGTGCTTTTCAGCGTAATGATCAAGTTACTTTTTCAGTAACTGTTCTATGGCTGAAGGATGTGGCACACACTGTCCTCAAGCAGAGGCAAGCTGAGAAACTGGGTGTAGAGATTACCCTTCTGAAAGAAGGGAGAAAGGGAGCCCAGAGTCTGTCATGTCTATTGACTGATTAAATACAAGGTTGAAGATGCTCACTGTGTGGTCCTGGGCCCTGACTAGAGATGATTCTTGCTGCTCTTCCCCACCCCCCCCAAGAATGCTGGGCCTTCACACATAAAAGATGCTAATACCTTGCTGCAGCAGTGCCCACCTCCACCCGGAGGCACTCAGTGCTCCCCTCGAGGCTTCATGAAGGATGCAGTTGCTGTTCCCCAGCTACCCCACATCCCATCACAGCTGCATTTGCATGTGACCAGGAACATTCACCCCCAGCTCTCCCCTTGCAAGGGCTGTGCTTATGCCCTAAGGCAGCTGCATTGACCACAGCAGCTCTGGGATTTTTTCCCACTCTGTCTGTAGCACTGCTCCTTGAAGAAAGGGGTGAACAGTGGCAAGTTTCAGGTGTCAGGGTTCAGTTTTACCATTAACAGAGGAGGAAAATAAACATCAAAACACATCCAGGAAGGGATGAGTCAAGGCCCTGCTTCTCTCTCTGGCACTGCCTTTTCCCTCAGTTGCTTTTTAGTCTCCAATAGTAAAGAAGTGAAGGTCAAGTGAAACTGCAAGCTCTCCTGTGGTAAAAGCAGTGGAAGCAGGAGCAGCACAGGCAGGGCTGTGTGTTCAATTAGTAAAGTCAGTAATGCTTAGTTTTTTGGCTTATCCTGCTCTTCCTGCCCTCCCCCTGCCTTCAGGATCTCACCCCTGCAGTCAGGTCCTGCACTCTCTCCCCCCCAAGCACAAGTGGAGGTACCTGTTGCTATCTCAGCTGCCTTTGCCCACATGCTGGCAGGGGCTTAGACCTAAAGATTTTGGCAAGAAAGTGGACAACAGTGACGACCCTGGCCAGTCATGGTGCAATGACTGTGCAGCACTTCTTCAGCAGCATCCAGACATCTCATGGTGCTCAATGAGCTTCCAGGTTCTGGTTGTCTTCAGGGAGGCAGCACAGAGAAGCCAAGGGAATGCAGACAGCCGGCCAAGGTGGCAGTCTTGAAACTCATCTGAGCAGCCTTTCCCCCCTCCTTCACAGGGTCTTCTCTCCCTCCTTTCAACTTGAAGTGATCTGTACTGCTGCTTTGTTGCCAGGTGCTCCAACAGGAAGAAAGTGTGATGGTCGGGTTAGATTTTGATGTACAGAGCACAGGATGGTGCTGAGCAGTCCTACAGTTGTACACCACTGGGGCCAGAAAGCATCTCGGCTTTGAAGAGCTAATGCAGTCAGCACTTTCAGAGACTGGAATCCACCTCCACGTCTACCCATGCTGGGAATTCAGTCAGTAGTTTGACTTCTCAAGACCTTACTTGCTGAAGAGCATCTTGCCATGCTCACCATGTCTTTTCAAACCTGTTCCAAAGTAGTAAGGAAAAAACCCACACCTTTTCTGCTTACCCAGCTTACACTGCTGGCGCCAGATACACTATTGAGTGGTCTGGTGACTTTGCTTTACCATACCACTCAGTAAAAGCTTTACTTTCACTGTTGCACAGGTAAAGAAAGGGAAGCCTAGAAACAGATTTAACAAGGTTGAACCAGGAACTTTCTGTCAAAATACTGGAAAAACCACATGGAATACAGGTGGTGAGTCCAACCAATATCAAAACCATTTCCTTCAGTCATAATTGTGAGGCTGTTTTTTTTAAGAGATCAGACAACTAAGGGTTTGACACTGCATCAGAACTGCTTTAAACACTTCTCTCCACAGTACCCCAACATTTATCCTCTCTCCTTTCAAAGCAGATGCCTTAAAGTTTTCAGCAGTCATCACCTGGAGGCAGCCAGGTTGAAATTCAGGCAATAGCTTTTTCTTTTTTGCATCCTGACACATGAGAAGGTTTTGTCTGGGTAATACAGAAACACATGCACACAGATTTGCCATGAAAAAAAACCTCACATTTATTTGATTAAACAAAAATAAAATAAACTGCATAGGAACATTTTAAAGTCCAGAGAGACACTGACTTTGTTTTAAGGCTGCCAGTAGCTGATACATCGTCTCCTTGCTACATCCTTCAGCCTTCCCTATGGACCACAAAGATACATTCAGAAGCCTCCATTAACACAAGGGTTCTAACACTTTGATCACTTATTCTATGTAGAAGTTTGCACATAACCTGTCATGCTTTCTTCTCTGCAGTACTTGACATCTGACATCTAAAAATGTCACTTTTTGTCCAAGTAGAAATGTGATGCCCTTTTTGGAGAATGGAAGTTCTTGTCACAGCCTGTTTCATTAACAATTAGATATAAAAGCTCTGAGCAGCTCATTAAAAGCAGAACACTGTCTGTCCTGCTGAGACATTTATATTATTATTAGGAGAGCAGCTTGATTAATCACTAAAGTAGAAGAGAAACAACTGCAACAGACTACAAAACCAAATGACTCAAGATGGTTTTGTCAGTCCTTGGATGTTGGGCATTCTGGATCCTGTTGCAAACCTGCCCCAAGGCAATGCTACTTCCACAGTGGTAATGAAGTTTCATCAGATGGGGCCATATATCTACAGTTAATTAAACGAGGGGAGAAAAAGGCACGTGTTTGTGACACTGGTTTCATGTGGACAACTTCCTTTTTGTTCAAGGCTTCCAATTTCTACTGGACTTAAAATTGCAGGTTGTGTTCAGCACTCTCGCTACTCTAAGGAATTGTGCACAACCAAGCAGCGCATGACAGGTAATGCACAGTACAAGCAAGAGTCACATACAGTAAGAAACCCCCACCAACTCAGGTGACTAAGCACACCTTGCAAACTAGTTAAAAACTTTTTAGTCATTTTACAAAAGAAACTAAAAACAAACCCCAGAAACAGACACCTCTCCCTCTGAAGGAAAAACTACTACATTGCCTGAAAAGGACTCTACAAACCTATAAAAGGACTTTTTTTTAAACTAGTCTGGTAGTCCAAAAGGAAGTTACTTAACTATATCACTACACAGACACTTAACATTCAGTCAGTAAGGCTCTATGAAAAGAGCTTTAAAAATTATCTACCTGAGTTTGTAAGTTGATACAATCATTAATAGAAGGTCTAAGACCATGCAGGTACACAAAGCATTTTTAGAACCATTATTGGTTAAACAATGATGGAAAAAGACGCCAGTCTGGCTCGTTAACCCGTAAGATCACTTAGAGACATCAATGTACATTTTCCACCATAACATTTACCAAACCCAACACAGCCTATCATTATTAGGGGTCTCCTGTACCCACTTCTGTCACCCCCTAATATGAGCAAGGGAGGGAAAAAGATCTGATATAGAAATCTGAAAATGTGCTTCTGCAACTTTACTCCACAGGCAACACAAGGGGCATGTTGCATGTCACTATTAAAGCTGCATAAAACCCCAACATACTGGTTTTAAACTGCCTCTCCTGAGAATGTCTGAACCTAAACTGCCCTCCAGGAATAGAAACTCAGTTGCTTTGTCATG